ACCAATATGGTCTTTCTCACGCAATGAGCAGACTCTAAACTTGTTCAAGTATGTTTTCCCAAACGATAAAAAGTTTTGCTGATAGTAAACCATTTTCCCAAAAGCTTCCATTTGGCCATTAGCTGAGTCAATAACGGACACATTCTACAACAAAAAAAACCCGTTCATATGTTCTAAAAGGAGTTAAATGCATTTTCGAAAATGTTTAAATATATTTTCTATTGATCAAAAAGTTGACCTGAATCAATAGGTCTGTTTGCTTGTGGAAACTAGAATGCATATGCTATCAATTTCCAATAATAATCAGCTTTTTGCTATATAGTATCTCCCCACTTTCTGATACATATTGATAGAGACCAATTCTGGATTTTACGTATCTCGGAGATTATTGTAGCCAGATGCAACAAATTGATTATACTATAGTCTAGTTGCACTTTTCATATAATAAACGTTTTTCCAAGATAGCTTTAAGTTAGATCTTTACATCTAAGTCCTGAAAACGATCTGTGAACTCATATTATCTACTGCTGCTTACCTGTATCTGAATCGGTTACTATATATTTTAGTAAGAATCTGTCGCAAAATGAAAAGAGCTTATTCATAAATAATTGAATTCTATATTTGACTGCAGTATTGGTGTAGATACTATATGAAATAATAGCTGCTGTAATTATATTTACAATTCACTCGCCATTCAAACAATGCACGTTTCAGCCGACGCCCTGTTTTTTTTTTTCCGTCGTGCGTCGTGCCGCTTGATAGAGAACATTTTCTAAATATAGCTGCATTAACCCATTAGTGTCACTTGGAATGGAAAAGATCAAACGCTCGCGCGAATCTCACAAGTGCAATTTTGTTGTGCGGCTAGCGCCTGCTGAAAGATAACAGATCAACATAGAGTTCATTCATCCAAGTTTCGTCTGTTTCTGGTGCCCGTCGCTTGCCATAAGGCAGCTATATCTCTGCTTCCGCATTTGCAGTGGACATCGTTAGTGCGCCTCCGCCTCCCTCCTCCCTCTCGACCCACGCAAGCAGCTGCTGTGCCGAACGAAAGTGAGAGTTGTCGCCATTGGCGTTGTTGTTGTTGTTGTCCATTTAATCATTGCAAATTTTATGCAATCTGACTTTTGAGTGTTGAGCACGGCATGTGTGTTGATCTTTTTATAACGGCATTGTGTAGGAGTGTGTGCCATATATCAAAAACAGAACAGTTCATCATGTCAGGCATTTGTGTGTGTTTTTTTATACATCTGTGCACACAAGTGTACAATTCACTTAATGAAAGTGCATTGACTCTTTCGACTTGGCCATCTGTAATCTGAAACGCAGTATTTGTTTAATTTTTTATTTTTCAGAAGATTCCCTTAGCCATCTGCATTAATTGCCCTTGCAATTACGATTACACAGTGCACCCGCCCATAAATGCGATAGCACGCGATTCGTACATTTTAAAGCACGTAATCAGCGTCTTCTGATATGGACATGACGATATATGCACAATTGTTGTGTAATATGTTTGTTTTTATTTCGTTGCATTGTCACACGATAAAACCGGTAATAGCGGCGCAGCTGGTCAAGGCTGACAAACAAGTTTATGTTCGCATAATTTGTGGTTTTATCTACTTTTGACCGTTCGTTGGCCGCTGTTAGTGAAAGTAAGGGGCTTGAGCATAACAACAATTGGCGATTTATAACAATAACATGAGCCCGTTGCAAGCATATGATTATATCGACCAAACAAAATGCATTTAAAATTAAACTAACAAATTAAAAAGTGCGCCATCAGCTGTCAAAAATGCGCCTTGGTCACACTTAACAGCTTTGCTCCTCACTTAACAGATGTGCAATCCAACTTTACTCCACACGATACAGACTAGCTAACAGCTGGTCATACTATTTCTTTAAACTATCGCCTCCTTTCAATCGATAACTGCATCGATAGTAGCACGTTTTGTTTCATTTGGAATATTACAAAGATGAGCGTAGCCACAAGCAAATTGTTGCTTAAAAACATGCCCTGCAGCATGCTTGAATTCGCGCAATTAATTCAAGAGGCAAACCTGATTATACCGCGTTCACTAAATGCCTTTGGACGTCGACGCGCGCTGCTTGATTATGCCGACGCCGAAGAGGCGCAATCCGCCCTAGAACAGCTGATTGGATTAAACGAAATACTGGACAAGCCGTTACGCGTCAGCTCATTTGGACCACGTTCCAACGATAGCACCAAGCCGAAGTTCGCCAACAAATCTACTCAAGCAACAGCTCCGGCTCAGACGGCGGATCCCTCCTCCCAACCAGAGATCAAAAAGTATGTGCAAAAGTTGTATGCCCGCAATAATCAATGTGACTTTATGCAGCCACCACCGCCATATCTGCGCTATGCGTATCCGCCCATCAATGCCGACATTCTGGCCGCCATAGGAGACACACTCAAGAGTGACAAACGCTTCTATGTGCAGGTGCTTCATCTCATGAACCGCATGAATTTAACGCCGCCCTTTGGCCACCGACCTGCAGGTCTCCATCTCCCAGCACAGAAATCCCGAAGTGTTGCGACGCAAACAGAAGTGCTCCAGAGCGAGTCTGAAAGCGAGCTGGAGAGCGATGAGGAACACAAACAGCAGCAAAAACCGCCAAAGCTAAAGCGCCCAGCAGATAGCGTAGTTCTGGAGCAGTATCGCAAACGTGCCCGCCAAATGCTGCAGGTGGCTGCCAGTGACCCAGGCAAAAGTGCAGCAGTCAAAGAATACATGGATGTGCCTACAATTGCTGCGCGCAAAATTGAACTGAAGCTGCCATCAACCTTGCCGGTTGTTAACCAGCTGCCGGCCGAACGTCTGACATCTGAGCAACTGCAAGAGCTGCCTGTCTACAAGAACTACAAAGTGGGCGAGCCTAGCAACAAGTTGTACATTAAAAATCTTGACAAGAGCATAACGGAGTCACAGCTGAGAACGCTCTACGCTCAATACGCACCAGCTGAGAGTCTGGACATTAAAGTAATGCAGCAGGGCCGCATGAAGGGACAGGCCTTTGTCACATTCCTCGATCCCAACAATCAGGCGGCTGCAGCGGCGGCGGTGGTGGTGGCCAAAGCTTTGGCAGAAACGAACGGTCTGCTCTGGCATCAGAAGCCCATGATCGTTTGCTATGGGAAACAGCAGCAGCAGCAGTCGCAGCAGCTGTAGCAGCGAGCAGGTGCAACATGAATAAGATATTTTTCAGTATTTCCAATTGTTAAATTTGACTGTTGAAGTGTTACGAACAGTAGCTTGAAATCCATTGAACCCATGAATCTTCTAATTAGGAATTGGATCATGCATCTTCACTTTTGTTACCTATGTATGTAAATCGATGCATGTATATTCAATTATTTGGCATATAAACTCCTAATTGACACCTCTGCCACAAAATGAATTTCCTTAGGAGTCACTTTTTACATTAGTTGTTGTTGTAATAAGTTTCTCTCACCAGTATATTGATGTAGCAAACAGTTTGAATATGTAAATGAAAAAGCCATTAGATTGAAAAAATGTAAATAATCGTATCGTAAGGCAAGCAAACATTGTAATTTAAACAGTTTATTATTTGTAATCGCAGTAGCAGCTTTGTAGACATGTAAGAGAGTCAGGCAAAAGTAGTTTGTATATTTTCATTCCTAGTATAACTACAAGTTGCCAAGATATCACATAGTATTTCATATATTTTCTAAAAAACAAAACAAAAACTGAAAAAAAAGTTTACAGATATTTTCCAACGTATTACAACTTGAATGTTTGGTTTTGCTTTTTGGCAGACAACTGGGCCTGATTGACACGTTGTATGTGGAGGGCGCCCGACCAGATCCAGCAAACGATTTGGACGAATTACAAAACGAAGCTGACATCAGCATCAACGGTGCATCCGAAGTAGCCACAGTTCCCGTCAAGACAAAGAAGTCACGCAAATCCAAACAGTTGGCCATGCAGCCCTTCAGCTATGTGATTGCAGTCGACTTTGAGGCTACGTGCTGGGAGAAACAGGCACCGCCACAGTGGCGAGAAGCGGAGATCATAGGTAAGAATTGATAACAGATGACACTCCACTCTGATCACCATCAATAACTATATGGACTTGCAGAGTTTCCAGCCGTGCTGGTCAATCTAAAAACGGGCAAAATTGAAGCCGAGTTTCACAAGTATATTATGCCCATTGAATCGCCGCGTTTGAGCACCTACTGCACGGAGTTAACGGGCATAGAACAGAAGACTGTGGACACAGGCGTGCCCCTGCAAACGGCGCTGATGATGTTCCACGAATGGCTGCGCAAGGAGCTGCGTGCCCGCAATCTGCTGCTGCCCAAGATGAGCAAGTCAAATATACTGGGCAACTGTGCATTTGTCACATGGACCGACTGGGACTTTGGTATCTGTCTGCACAAGGAGTGCACACGCAAGCGCATGCGCAAGGCTCCCTATTTTAATCAGTGGATCGATGTGCGTGCCGTTTATCGCGAGTGGTACAAGTATCGGCCCTGCAACTTTAGCGATGCCCTTTCACATGTGGGCCTAGCCTTTGAGGGACGCGCACATTCTGGCATCGATGATGCCAAGAATTTAGGCGCGCTTATGTGCAAAATGGTGCGAGATGGTGCGCTCTTCTCGATCACCAAGGATCTGACGCCATATCAACAGCTGAATCCCAATTGTGTGTTGTGAGCCAGCGACCGAGAGAACTCCCTCCAAGATATCTAACGAGAAAAAATGCACTTAGTTACTGACTTTTAATAAATAATTAATATTACGTAGCTGGCGATGATAGATCGACAGTTCTTAATGTGAGAACAGCCTGAAAATAATGTGTGGGAAATTTGATTAGTTCTTCACTTCTTTTTCTGTAACGGCAATTGATAAGACTTGAAATTCGACGAATTGTTTCAATACTGCTGCAAGTCCCCCCGAGGAATGCAGTATGGATATACACGTACATATATATATATAAGATATGGCCTTAGAGCATATTTTTCTACTATTCATATTTAATAATGCATAGTTATAGTCTATACTGCGTATATGGAATGTCATACTTATGTTTACGACTTACACGGCCTACCATTTAGCTTTAAGGTCGTAACTAATAAAACGACAATAGATTTACTCAAATCTTAGAAATCCCAACTTGTTTAGCTTAATTATACTTTCGCCATTAAGTTTCCAGAACTAAATGTGGGACGCATTATGGATTCGTGCACATATAGTCGCAGCTCGGAGCTGCCCAAGGATCTTTGGAATCAACCTATAACCATGTCGAACAGCGCTAATTAATATTAATACTAAATATTTGTTTGCCTTTTTAGCTTACACTGAGCTTAAATTATACTTTTGTGACCATAAAAGAGGTAGCTAACAAAGGTTTAAGGTCTCGGCTTTACAGCCAGCTGGATAACCGCCTTCTCGCCAGTGCACATCCAGTTTGGATCCTCCTCCGTTAACCACTCGACGACGCAAAGGGGCAAACCACAATATAGATCAGACTTAATTGAGCGAAGGGCACAGATGCTAGTGGGCAGAAAGCCGCTGAGACATTCGCTAAATGGAGTTGTGGAATTCCAGTTGACATCGTCCAGCAGCTTACGATAGTTAAGATCCCCCTTGAATATGGTCAAGGCGCCCAGACTTAGCTGAACATACAAACAGGGCGCCATTTCGCGCATGAACTTGAAACACTGAGGCTTTGTCCAGAAGCTACACGCCTGGCACAGCTCGAAGGACTTTTTCCGCATAAATCGACGCAGTTTTCGGCCAAAGGCGGACAGCTCTGATATCTCGTGCCGCAGAAAGAATTGCAGCATCCAGTTAAAGTCGTTGGCAGTCACATCTGAGACGAACCAAGGGATATCCTTCACATGATAGCGGACCTTTACCGCCAGCCCTGCCTCAATCAAATACTCGCCCAGCAGCAAATCCGCAAAGAGCTCAAAACCCGCGTTATCCAAGACAATGTCTACAGTGACGGGACATACGGAACTATGAATGCCCTCTGTCAGCAGGTGCCACACATCTTCGGACTGATCCGCGATCAAGTGTTCGTCGAAATCAACCATTTGCTCTATGAAGCGTTCATTTGGAGCGTCGGTTCTGATTGAAAGATCACAGCGATTTGCCCACAATGATAGCTTCAGAATCAACAGAAAGTGCAGCCGACAACGCGGAAGATCCCGTGTCCCCTTCAAAACACTACGCAGCAGGAAAACATTATTGCGCGTGGAGCATATTTTCTTTGGACTGAAATAGTCGTAGCTGCTGAGGGTGTCTGCGCGCCGGAATGCAGCCCAAATGCGACGATACAAGTAGCACTCGGCGTCCATCCACGTGGAGGTGAACCATTGGTTTTTCTCGCGATTCTCCAGCTTTTTAATAAAGATATTCCACTCGCTGGCACCTGGATCTTTGTCGACGAAATGCTTGAATTCGCTGTTCTTCTGTACCTCTGTGCGCAGTATTTCCAGGCTCCAGATGACGCGCCGCAGATCGTAGCGCGCATAATCGCCGCACTGTTCCATGATCCTAGTTTCGTTCTCTCGCATGCAGGTTATCAGCTCGTTGAGCATTTGGGGCACACGCTTCCTGAATGTTCTGTAGGCGAAGCTGTGCTTGTATCTGGCAGAAAGCTGTTCCCGCAATGGCGGAGCAATGTCGAAAATATTGTGTTTCTCATCAAACTCCTCGTCATGACCGGATAATGTGTCCTTGCTGTGCAGCGTTGACCCGTCGGACTCGTCCTCAGATTGGCTGCCATGTTCGGTATTAATCTCTGTGTCCGACATGATGTTAATCAACTTTCCGGCATATATTTTATCTCACTTTACAATTTTGACATCATTCACTTCCCAAAGGTGTGAGAGCTCTAAAAATATAATCACATTTCCAATAAATAATGTAAATACTGCACGGAAAAGATTTTCCCTTTCTACCCAAGAGTCCTTAAGGCCTACGTATATGACACCTCATTAAAAATGAGTTCGAAATAAGAGACCGTAACTTATTATTGTGTGATAGCTTCTACAGCCATTTTTTGGAGTACTGATGTTTGTCGATAAAAAACATGTCCTCAATTCAATTTTGCATAAAGCAACAACATCAAGACATAATATTTCAAAATATTGGTGCTATATTTGAACAGTGAAAATTTGATTTAACAATTAAGCTACGCCTAAAATTGCAACATTTGAGCTATAGTTTTATATAATGGTAATATTCAGGGCACTTTACTTGCTGGCAAGCTGAATTGTTCCATATTCGCCTGTAAGCATCCATTCTTTGTTCTTGGCAAAGAGTTGCTCTGATATGCCAGGCGGCAGTCCACAAACCAAATCCGCTTTGATTGTGCGCAGACTGCAAACGTTTGAGGGCTTGAAACCTACGTAAGGATAGATGGTATTTCTGTGAGCATAAAATGTCCGACTACTATACAATATAACTTACCGCGCAGGCAGGTCTCGAATGATTCAGTATGGTTCCAACTAAAGTCGCCCAGTAGCTTTCGATAGTTGAGATCGCCCTTGAAGATTACCAACTGTGCCTGCGAGAGGCGCTCATATAGCGCCGGTTGCACTTCTGCCATGCGATAGAACTCATATGGACTGGTCCAGAAATGCTCGAGTGGAGCCAATTCGAATTTTCCTTCATCGTTGAAACGTTTCAACTTCTTTCCCAGCTCGCTGAGCACAGGCTGCGTGTGATCGATTAAAAATTGTAGCGTCCAGTGATAATCTGCGGCCATGACATCCGATATGAACCAGGGTATTGCCTTGGCATTAAAGCGCACTTTTCGCGCTAGGCCCTTATCGATGATATACTCAGCCAGTATAAGATCTGTGTAAAGCTCATAGCCCGCATTATCGAATACAAATTCCACAACGCCGTTGCCATCGGAGCCATCCAGTGTCTGCCATATGGCGGCAGTGTCATCCACCAGCAAATTCGCATCCAGATGGGCAACTTGATCGAAGGCATCACCCATCGGTTTCACCTGCTTGCCCGACGTAATGGACAGATCACAGCGATTGCCCCACAAATTGAGCTTCATCAGTTTCTGAAAAGTGGCCAAATTGCGTTCGTTCTTTCGGGTGCCATTTGCTACTGCCAGCATGGCTTCCACGCTGAGCTGTGCGGCCGTTTGCTTCTGCTTGCGGAAGTAATCAAAACCGGCCAGGCGCGATGATATGAATATGGACCATATTTCGCGATACATAAAGCACTCGGCGTACAGCCAGCACGTGGCGAAGTAGGTGCGCTTCTCCTTTGGCAATTGCTCCAAGAAAGCATTCCAAAATCCAGCGTCGATCTCTAAACATATATATATTTTTTTTGTATTAAGTATTTCTAATTTATATCATGGTTTTATTAGAATAGCTTCAATCCAAAAAAATAAAAAACAAATTAAATATTTTATACATAAGAACTGAAGCTATTCTAATGGAATATTAATAAACATTAATAGGACTAATACTAATAATAATACTAATTAAAATACCAATAATAAAAATACTATTACTAATAATAATAATACTAATAATAATAGTTTGTCAGTTTGGTTTTTTCATTATTTTGTCTTCTATAATTCAAATTTTCGAAAACCATTCTAAGTTGTATTAAAAATTCGAAGTGATAAAAATAGATTCGGTAAGATCAAATTTTTTAATGACTGGAAATTTTTATATATGTACGTATTTATTTTTGTTAAATGTTCTACTCATAAATCAGCGCCACGTGCCTGGTTTCTTATGCTACGCTATGCCTACATACCTTTGTCTTTAAACGGCTGTAACGGTCCATTTTTCAAAATATTCGAGCGCAGCTCAAGAATGGCTGCAGCTGTTTGATCAATATCTGAGGCTGCGTCCTAAAAAAGAACATTGATTAATTGCAACGAACGGCTCACTGAATTATGCAATATTACAACTAACCGCTCCATATATTGACAGCAGCTCGTCCTTATCCTTGGCCAGGGACTTGGCAATTGTGTCCAGAGTTGAAGGCAAGCGCACGCGAAAGGTGTAGTATGCAAAGCTCCTAGAGAGGGGGTCACGTTAGAGGTCAGGCAATCAAATTACATCAGTGGTTCGCTCCATACATATATACGGGCATATGAGCGTATTCATATGCGTGGGGGCATTTTCGATATGCTATATATAGCGAATACTACTTACTGCTTGTATAGGGCTGCTAGCGGCGTGTGTGGAGGCGCTTCGTTATCAATAATTCCATTTGCAGCATCAAAATCCGCATCGTCTTGTGCTAAGGTCATATTTGCTTTTGCTTGCTGCGTGGTATGTTTAATCAGTTGTAAATCGTTTGTTGTATCACCTTCTGCACAGTAACTGCTACAGTATGAAACCTATCTCTATTTGTCTTGGCGCCTTGAATGTCGACAGCAGAAATGCATGTTACTACGGAACTGAATCGCAGTGGTGGGACACGGTCGATAATTTCTTATCGAATACATATTAAGCTTTGGAATGATAATCAAAGTAGGTCGCCTAATATCGGATAAAACCAGCAATTAGATAAACCGTTTCAGTTCACATTTTGAAAACTATCGTAACCGCCACAATCGCAGTGTCGCACAATTCGACAAGCAGATGATGATGATCATCAGTTATAATCGGATATTATTATATATATTTTTATGCATTATAAGAATTATTATCAGGCAACTCTTTGGCATTGTTTTTATAATTAGCCTATCAAAACCCGTTAAACGGGTTAAGAATAAATTGTATGCTCGAACTGCTTGGTCAATGATTTGAATAAGAAAAAGAATCGGCCATGTTCGACTGACTAGTTGTTTGTACATATTATCGCAATGGGTCCGATCAAGTTACTACTTGCCCTGCTTCCATTAATTTGTTGAGTTATTTTCTAGATTTCCAAATATCCCTTTATGTGCTATCGATAGTTTCCAACCAGTTCTCCCCATCGATATTATCGATAATTCTATCGTTCGTTTTACTGCACTATTATAAGAGCTGGACAACGAATAGTATTTACTCTCGCACAGTATATATAGAAATACATGCAACTTTTCAGATGCGCATATGCATACATTCTTCTATCGTATTTAGGCCATGCATCCGTCGAAGCTTCTGGTGAAACAAAAGAATGCACTTTTTGTGTATGTTTATGTTTAATATCAACTTTAATGGAATCCAAAAAGATTAACAATGACTACCGTAAATCTGTTAGACTGATGTTATTATATTTGGATTGACTTCGAAACTAATAAAATACAGAGCTTAATATATTAATAGCCGAACTCCCGCGAGCCATCCACAAACTGAATTGTGCCATAGTTTCCAGTGAGCATCCAGTTGGGGTCTCTCAATTTCAGATTTTCAATGACGCCTTCAGAAAGACCGCATATCACCTCTGCCTTGATTGTGCGCACAGTGCAGAAGCTGCTAGGTATGAATCCGCCCAAGCACGTTCTCATATCCTGTGTAGGCTCCCAGCAGACGTCGCTTAAAAGCTTACGATAGTTCAAATCGCCTTTAAATATAATCAGCTTAGACTGCTGCAGCGTTCTGTATAATTCGGGTTCCAGGGTTTTCATGCTGCAAATGGTAAATGTTGTAAATTGTTGTACGAATTCGCGAACGCTGTGTGGACTCACTAGTGAAAAGCATGTGGCCCGGTCCAGAAATAAGACACGGGCGCCAATTCGAATTTACCCTCATCCATGAATTGTAAAAACTTGTTGCCAATCAGACTAATTATATAGTCAGAGTGTTTGCTCAGATATTGCAGCGTCATATGGAAATCACGCTGTGTGACGTTGGTAACAAACCAAGGACACGCCTTGACATGAAACCGCACCTTGGAAGCGAGTCCCTTTTCGATTATATACTCGGCAAGAATGAAGTCTGTAAACAGCTCATAACCAGCATTGTCCAGCACAAAATCGACATGCTGTTTGTTTGTCTTCTTGTTTGACAAGCAGTCCCATATTTCGGAAGCATTGTTGGCGAGAATATGGCCATCCGTCACACTCACATCCTCCAGTACTCTCATATTAAACAGTCGAGCATGCTCGTTCTCGGATAGATCGTTGCGGTTGCTCCATAGGTCAATTTTCAACATCTCATTGAACATTTCGACGCTGTTCTCCGTGCGTCGTGTGTATTTAACCAAAGAGAGTATATCCTCCTGGCAGCTAATTAGGGCGTGCTCCTTAATTTTGCCAAAGTAATCAAACTGTTTTATGAAGATGCTGTTTTCCACGAAGGAGTAAAGCTTGCGATACATATAGCATTGGGTGTGCATCCAGCATGCCTGATAGAACGTGCGCCCATCATTTGGCAGATGTGATATAAAGCTATTCCATGATTCGCGATCTATCTCTGAAAGCATTTAACAAACCATTTTAGATTATTTATCTAGACATTTATTTATTTTATTGCCAACTCTTACTTACCATCGCCAGTAAACTTTTGGAAGGGCTTGTCCGTTTGCAGCTCATATTTAAGCCGCGATATCAGCCCAATGATAATCTTCAGCTCCTCCCGCGCGTTCTGCACAAATTGTGTGGGCGCTATAGATTACGGTTAGGGGAACATCCTTAACTTATTACAAACCTCACCAAATTGTGCGACTAGCTCCCCCTTATCCTTTGTGAGCGAGTCTATAACTTTTGTGAGCACGACGGGCAGAAGATTTCGCAGATTGAAGTAGGCGTAACTACGCTTGAATTGACCGGACATGAAAGCATTTAGTGGAGTCTGGATGTCGACAATGTTGTACTTGGCATCGAACTCCGACTTAAATACTTTGACAAAACTTTGATCATCAACTTTGCTATCCGCCGCTCCATCTTTTATGGCGCACTCTCCTCCTTCGGGCTCCATCTTCGTCCTTATTTAGAATTTTTGTGTGCTTAACCTTGCATATTTACGTTAACAAATCGACCCGAACACACTAATAGCCTACTTACATATTTTGTTGATGAAATTTATATGTGAATTAAGCATTATAAATATAGTTTTATTTATATGCATGCCTCTTTGCGCTATCGAGTGTGACCAGAGTAACGACATGTTATGCCAGGTATGCTGACAAAGCAAAATGCACCAATTTATGTGTTATATTCTGAAAAAAATGAGAATAAAAATTGAATTGTATATTGTCACATATCTTGTTGAATTCTAATAAATTGTTATAGTGTTCCCGAAAAAAACTAATTATAATATTAAAGTTGTGTACCATTATATTTTAATTACATGCACTAAGGCAAAATTAGTGTCATTTGTCCATTTTCAGTATTTTTGAAATATACTAAATTAGTGCATTTCTTGCGTATTTTCACTTCCGCGTTCCCTATTCTTCGTTGCAGTTTTTATTTGGACATGGAACGCGACGCGAAGTCTTCGAGATGTTTATCACGCGCAAATTAGTGAACAATTAGCAAAAAATAATCCGAGAAACTCCTATGACGACACAGTGACAAAGTTAAATAGTCAACAAACGCGACCAATTGTTGACTCTGTGAGCGGGGCATGCTGACTCAGCCACGGCGAACGACAAAGGCAGATACGGGATACGAGATAAAGTCCGGCTGAGGCTCTTATTATAGCATTGCTGCTTCTGTGCCTGCTACAAAGACGAAAGGCGTTGACGAAACCAGCAGCACACGCACAGATGTATACCAACTAAACCGCAGTGCCATCCACTACACACTCACACACACACACACACAACACTTACGCTTACGCACACAGGGCCAGACAGCACCACCTACAACACCCAACACACAACCGCATACGCACACACACACACAATGTCACATTTACCATTGGCACTGTATGGCTTCGGAGCATTTTTTATGATTTTCTGGTTTGGCACATGGTGTGTGCATCTGATCGCGATCTGTTATGGCAAGTACAAGCTGCACAAGAAATCGTGCAAGTTGCCCACGGAATCCTCACCGCTGCCGGGCGTTTCGATACTGAAGCCACTGATGGGCGTGGATCCGAATTTGCAGCACAACTTGGAAACGTTCTTTACCATGGACTATCCGCTATACGAGCTGCTATTTTGCGTGGAGGAAAAGCATGACCCAGCCATTAAGCTGGTGGAGCAGCTGCTGGACAAGTACCCGCAGATAGACGCCCAGCTCTTTGTGGGCGGCTCCGATGTGGGCGTCAATCCTAAAATTAACAACATCCATCCCGGCTATATGGCGGCAAAATATGACTTCGTCATGATCTCGGACAGTGGCATAAAAATGAAGAACGACACGCTACTGGACATGGTCCAAAATATGTCCGAGCGACACGCCCTAGTGCATCAAATGCCCTTCACCAGCGACCGTGACGGCTTCGCGGCCACCTTCGAGAAGATCTTCTTCGGCACGGTGCAGTCGAGGATTTACCTGTCAGCCGACGTGCTTGGCATCAATTGTCACACGGGCATGTCGTGTCTGCTGCGGAAGGCAGTCATCGATCAGCTGGGTGGGCTACGCGCCTTCGGCTGCTATCTGGCCGAGGATTTTTTCATTGCCAAGCGCGTCACGGAACTAGGTTGGAAGATGCGCATATCCAACCAGCCCGCCCTGCAAAACAGCGGCATATGCGACATTGGAAGCTTTCAGGTAGGGTTTTCTTGTAATTTTAATCCGAATTTGTTTGGCATATATATAGGATACCCTCCCCGTTAATAATCCTTGTTTAGTATTGTAACAAGAGTTAACTACCACCCATGTTTTCCATGTGCTCTTTGAAGCAAGTTTCGTCGATTTACAAAAACAAAACACTTGACAATCAAAGCCGCTCAAAGCGCAGGACAGAACTTTCCACTAATTGAAGTTATGAACGTGCTCCAAGGGGCGATAATAATGCCAAAATGATTTCCGAACCAATTAGCGATAGGTATTTTCGATTAGGAGGTCGGAAAACGAGCACTTTCTCTTGAATGGAACAAACAGTAATCTCTCAATAATCAAGACTAGCTCGACTCGTACAAAATAATAATCAAAATATTAGTTTTATGGTTATATTACGGCTACAACGTAGGGCCTGGTTACTAAGGCCCCCCTACAAATTCACACTGAAACGGGAACACTTGGAAATTATCTAAGAAAAATCGCAGGCATCCAGCAAAAGACAATTATTTGTCTAGATGACATTCTACCCTTAAAATAGTCAACTCTACAGTTTATTGTAACATAATATTATGCCTGATATAGCTCAGTGTAATGAGGGACTTTTAACTAATGTATATACAAACAATACCCAACTCTGCCCGATACAGAGTCAGATTTCAAGTGATCAACTGATTTGTGAAGATTATACAAAGGCTTGGACTGAACAAAAATAACGCAAAAGAAGACAATCAATTTAGTATAGTACGGATTAAACGGATCAACCAAGTGTCAAGTTCAACTACAAATCGATCACTTGCTACTAATTATTGATCGAGTACACGACTTTGCAGTGCGGCAGCACTCACTTTAACTTCCCATAGGTCATAACATCCAAATTTTGTACGACTTTTGCCTGAGCAACTGGCACACGAACCTATCAAGAACTGATTAACCCACCAGCCGCCAGCGGCAGCTGTCGGAAACAAATGGAAATAAGTGACGAAACGTTAGTTGCATATGCTAGTCGGATCAGTTAAATATAATTTAATTAATTTGTTGATTGCCTTGACATAGATTGGTTGCTATAATTTGTTATTTTACTTCTAGGCGCGACTCATACGATGGGCCAAGCTGCGTGTCGCCATGGTGCCGACCACGATCCTGCTGGAGCCGCTGTCGGAATGCATGCTGCTGGGCGCACTGGCCGCCTGGTCGGCATCGCTGCTGTTCGCCTGGGATCCGCTGGTGTTTTATTTGGTGCATGTCTTGTGCTGGTTTCTGTCCGACTGGCTGCTGCTGTCCATTGTGCAGCATGGCTCGATGCCGTTCCACAAATTCGAGTTTGTCATCGGCTGGCTGTTCAGGGAGCTCTCCGGCCCCTATCTGTTCCTGCACGCGCTCTGGAATCCCGCCATACGCTGGCGCACGCGCACCTTTAAGCTGCACTGGGGCGGCATGGCCTACGAATTACCGCTCAACCCACCCGCGTCCGATTCTCTCACAGCGCCGCTGCAGCCGGCGCCCACGTTGTTACCGACAACAAATACGACAATGGGGGCGGGGCTAGCCGCAGCTAAGCAGCGACTGCTGATCTCGTAGCAGCAGCTAGTTAGAATTTGTTTGTTATATGCATAATTTGTACTTTTGTGAGCGACTCAGCGGACTGCGTTTTGAGCTACAGTTGATGGTAGTAGTATTATTACTAGCTAAACCCTTAGTCACTATAAAAACTTAAACAAATTAAGTCTAAAGATAAGTGATCGGGCGCACAGACTAAACTCTGCTTTGCTTGTCTAAAATCGGCCTTAGGCTTACGCAGGATCCAGGACGCGGCATTAAGTCTGCGCCTGAGTACTCTGCTCTTTGGCAACATCAAGCTTTAACGGTAGCAACTTTAAATTAAGTTGACAGTTTTGCTTTAAATATCTGTAGAGATCCGTACGATATTTTCTAAGTTGAGACAGTTTGTATATTTGTATTTAGTTAGCCTGAGATTGAGCTGAGCGAGTATGTATGCATAGGTTAGTTAGATTTTGTTATTGTTATTTTGGATTATCGTTTATCGTAATTATAATTAGGTATTTATTATTTCTAAGCGAAACAGTATGCTGTCTTTTTTCTTCTTCTTTTTTGATTTACCATATATATCTTTTTCACCCTGCCTCGTGCTCTGTAAATATGCTTCGCTAAACCGCCATCGAATAAATATAATTTTAATTATAATAGAGTTTATTTTTACTTTTGATCATTTGTCATTCATGTAATTACATTTCGTTCACTATGTTTCTTTTTTTTTTGAGTGATAAAAGTGAATCTATTGTTAATGAGTCAGTTAAATGGGATTTTGCTTTTTGCCTATCTATGATCGCCAGGTTATAGTTCTCACACTTCAGATGAGTCACAATGCGCACTTGTTATCACACAGTTGACAGTCATTGGAAGGGGGCGTTGCCTTGCCGCACATTTGATGTGGGTTTAAAAGTCGTGTAAATTCTTTTAATTATGCTGAACATACTTTTGCTATGAGCGCACTCTGCCGTCTGTAGACCCTTGCCCTCGCCGCCAAGAAACCAAGTATTATCCAGATTAAGCTAGAATTTAACTAAACGTACGTGAAAACACTTAAGGGAAAAATGTGGAAATTTCTCAGCGAACGCTGAGTCAACTTTAGCATCACATCATGCGGGGTCTGGGATCGAGAATAGAAGCTGTTCTCGTAATAAATGCGAATGAATCTTATCTCTGTCTCAGGGCCCGCCAAGTATTGAACATAATAATATTAATAAGCGTATACGAGTGCGTGTATACACTAAAAACAAACAGACACGCGCTCGGCAACAACAACACAAGAACATATTTATAAATTGCGAGCACATACAGATTAGAGAGCCATATCAGTTGCAAAGCACAGAGAATGGAAACGTGAAGGAGAGGCGGGCTACTGATTCAGTTCAGGCGCCTTAGGTTTACAAATAAATTAAGTCAGAGAGATTAAAACAAGAAAGGCCGCCCAACTTTGGCAATGCCGAATATTAAATACCCGTGTAGCATTATAGTTAACGGTTTTGCAGATATCTTGGAAGAACGAACTTTTTTCCATAATAAAAACGTTTTTGTATTTGTCCGATCGAATATTAGTAGACCCAATCAATGGCGATTAGACGACATATCTTGAGAAACAAAAAAGTTGTTCAAAAAAGAATTCAATTTTCGGCAGCTTTACGATATAGTGTCCGATCCGAGATATACCTAATGGGGATCGAAGAGGTCTCCTTCTAGCAAAGTAACGATAACATCTATGAGGGTATAGGAGGGAGCAAATATGTTAGTATATATATTTGTATTGCACATGGATACATGACTGGTCCATACTTAGTATGAATATCCTATGAATGTGCATGTGCATATGAATGCACATTCATAGGGTATTCATACTAAGTATGGATCAGTCATTTCCTAAGCAAGTTAGTCTTATGTTCTGTTTTTTTTTTTTTTTTTTTTGAGTGAATTGAGAAATTTATTTACTAGTTAAATGCCCTTGCCACATGGCATACATGATGTATACTTGCATGTATAGAAAACTATTCTCACCATTGTAAATTATTTTTCAGGAACCTGGGAAGTTTTATTTCCACTTGTGATCATACATATGTATGTACATAAATTAATATATTGCTATCTATAAAATTGAATATCTTATCAAAGTACGTTTGAATTGTTCTAGTCTGATAAAAGAGCTGCTGGCCGGGGCAGACACTTAAATACAAATAATAGAATTCTAAATAAGATATACTAACAAGGATCTATTCATACGCAGATAAATGCATATTATGTATCAATAATCAAGCGCAATTATTTATAATAGGATAATGATAAGACGAGGTTTTTCCAAAACCACAAACTAAAATAAATGTGAATCAAAATATTTACTGACCTTTTGACCTGCTTAATGCCCGAGTTATTAAGTAATTCTTGCGTCATATATATGTGTGTGTTTAAAAATAATTGCTGTTTAAATGGCAACAGTTTTATTATTTGATTTCAAAAGTAATTCGGCTGAGACTTTGTATGTGTTCAGAGATATACTTGTTTTTACTTTTCGAGCTGTTGTTTGGTTTACTGAATAAAGGGAAAAGTCAATCAAAAAGTAATACATTAGACACATGCGTAAAATAAGTATAATTGTAAATAGTAAATAAATAAACAAGATTGAAACTTGACCAACATACGCCTGCAAGTATTAAATACAATTCTATTATTTATATTTATTCGCCCTTAATGCTCATCCATACATGCACGCCATGCGTGCATACATGCTTACATGCATGCATGTATACATGTATACATGCATGTACACTACTGTGTCCTCATACTTCGTGGCGCCGTTATTTTCATTCACGAGTGCGAACGGTGCATTGTTTTTTTTTTTTTTAATAAATGGGCTTAGTCTGATAAGGCGCAATCATTATAACGGTGAGTCATGTGTCTTCACATTTTGTGTGGATCGTTTGATTATGTTTGCGCCCGGATTCAGCATGGATGTTCCATGATTTATTGGCCAGTAATTGGCGCTGTTAGAACCTTATAATTCCTCGACGCGCTCATAAAATGAGTGTGTCGATCAAAGAACCTAATTAATAATTAACACATGTACTGAAATTATCTATCATTGATTTACTTTAATGTACCTTTTGGAACGCCATGTCTGATGCGAATTCTGTAAAATTTGTCGGCCCATTCGGCAAACAAACTGCCGCTCTTATCCGGTATATTATGTTCTAGAAGTTTGCGCATTTCTCTTATCTACGATAATGAATGGGTTTTGCGATTTAGTAAACAAAATCGAGGGGACTTAGATATCATTACGAATTAAGATAGCATATACAAACTTAAAATATTTTATCAAAGTAAATATCTTCGCATGACGATTACAAACTGAACAAAGTCCACGCTGCTTTTTAGACGCTTCGAACCATATCTTGCAGATTCCAGCGATTTGTAAATAGCCTTGCTATCTCAAGTGCATTCAACAATCAAAGGTAATAAAAAAAAATAGTTATTGAATTCAAATTTGACATTGCCTGCGGGCTTTTTCCAACGAATGAGACGATAACATTCGATTGCCATTAAGCATTCACGATGGAAGAAATCTTGTATTTGAATTACAAGAATAGTAAAATTGATTTTTTTTAAAATCAAATCTTTAAAATTCTTTCCAAGATATGAGAACTGTATGCTTAAATATAGGCCATGCTCCATTTGAACTCATATTCAATTAGTTGCCCGTGCAGACACAAAAACCATTTATTATATTTATGTAATCATTTTATTTAAATTTCTCCAAAGTCAGTCAGCTTTAGGCCAGAGGTTTTTAAAAGTAAACAGCGGCAATAACAGAAAACTGTTGGCGCGAATCAGAACTAGATGAACGAATCCAGGGAGTCGGTTCATTTGATCAGCTTGCTAGTTCAGGGAGTCGTTTGATTGAACTTATTCCGAACGATTCAATACAACTACTAAAAATTGCAATTAATTTGTCGAAAAAGAGGTATTACTTATTAAAAGAGCCCAATAAAAGTTTTTGAAAATAAATGCAACTATATAAAATGACATTCTAGTATCGTGGTGTGTTGTAAAGCACCGGGAAATAACAAATGTTTAAAAGCTTCGCACAGTTTTGGCATGTGAAAAATCTATACAATTTTATCAGCCAACGGCACTTATGAACATGTGTGTGTGCACATGTAAATAGATGTGAATATGTATGTATGTATGCGTGCACCAGCTGGCGGCGATTGTGTCGGGGGCGTATTGAAAAATTCTTGGCCAATGCCTGTTTGTAATTGTTTATTTTATATTTAATGCTTGCCTGTTGATTTTTAGCACGCCTCATCAGCTTTGGATAATTATTATATGCATATTTGTCTTTATTAATGTACACAAAGAGCTTACAATGCAAATTTCAAATGGTTTTGTACACTTGCAGATGCTCTGGCCGCTGCTGAAGCGGCGATCAAGTGCTTAAAGCCAGTCAAATTTAGTTCATCCACAACAGGCAAGCAACGCAGATCGGCAGTGGAACGATGGCGATGTCCAAGGTAATACGCGTGCTGGAAAAGTCAATAGCGCCCTCACCCCATAGCGTTTTACTGGAGCATCGCAACAAGACCGACTGCATCCTCTTCGAATCTCATGTTTGTGCGCTTCTTACGCAGCAGGAGAATGTCATACGCAAGCAGTACACGAAGGTGTGTATGGTTTCCGCTCGTTATAATATAGTCCTCCTCTCTCCACCCATGACACTATAATATGTACACATTTATGCTGATAGATGTATATTCCTGATCAGCTTCAGTTACCGATGCGATCTAGTCTAGTGCATCTTACAAATCAAAACTCGAGATGACGTCACCTTTGGTATAGATGTTCTTCTTGTGTTTGTAAAATTATATAAATTAATACAGAACATTAATCAATAAGTACTTACTCTTTTAAAAAGAAGAACTCCTAATTCAAATTTAGTTAAAATAAGAGATTGATTAGACTTTTTCCATGTTTCTGAGAAAAAGTATTTGTAAGCTTACAGCAGAATTCATAAAGTGAGCAGGATCTTTATATAAAAAGTCAATCTCTTAAATACGGAGAAATTAGAATGCATTTCAGTAAAAAGAGATAGATATCAAACGGATATTTATAACAAAAGCTGACTTGAAAACATTTTGGTGTAATTTTATGTTCGGCCCAAATGCAAACCATTTATTTTTATGCAGATTGAAGTAGGGTATGTAAAGCCCGCCTCCATATAGTCCTAAAGGCTTTGCTATTTTCGTAGTGCATTTAAGAAAGAATTTGGTTTGTTTAGCTTTTGATAAACCTTGAATAGTTCTATTAAGTAGATATGTTTTCGAAACTAGATTATAACTTTTCCTGATAAGATTGCCAATATGTTTTCATTAAAAACACCTTATTTGCATTACTACAGGTGTGCGATGCGTACGGCTGTTTGGGCGCACTTCAGCTGAATGCTGGCGAGAGCACAGTACTCTTCCTGGTACTTGTCACCGGCTGCGTGTCCATGGGCAAAATTGGTGATGTGGAAATTTTTCGCATAACGCAGACAACATTTGTTTCACTGCAGAATGCAGTGCTCAACGAGGACAAAATTAGCGAGGTGCGTAAGTTGCTCAACTCGGGCACCTTTTATTTCGCACACTCGAATCCATCGGCCGCCGGCGGTGGTGCAGGAGGTGGAGCTGCGCACAGTAGCAAGTTTGACATTACGCTGTGCGCCCAGCGACGTCACCAGACGGCGGAAACGGACAATCGTTTCTTCTGGAACCGCATGATGCACATACATCTGATGCGATTCGGCATTGACTGCCAGTCCTGGCTGCTGCAAACCATGTGTGGCTCTGTGGAGGTGCGCACCGTTTACATAGGTGCCAAACAGGCGCGCGCTGCTATCATATCCCGGCTGAGCTGCGAACGTGCGGGCACGCGTTTCAATGTGAGAGGTACCAACGACGAGGGCTACGTGGCCAACTTTGTAGAGACGGAGCAGGTTATCTATGTGGACGGCGATGTCACCAGCCATGTACAGACGCGTGGCTCCGTACCGCTCTTCTGGGAGCAGCCGGGCGTTCAGGTGGGCTCACACAAGGTAAAGCTCTCGCGTGGATTCGAAACCTCTGCGGCTGCCTTTGATCGCCACATGAGCATGATGAGGCAACGCTATGGCTACCAGACGATTGTTAACCTGCTTGGCAGCTCAATGATTGGCAGCAAAGAGGGCGAGGCAATGCTGAGCAACGAGTTCCAGCGCCATCATGGCATGTCAGCGCACAAGGATGTGCCGCACGTAGTCTTTGACTACCATCAGGAGTGCCGCGGCGGAAACTTCTCGGCGCTGGCCAAGCTCAAGGAGCGCATGGTAGCCTGCGGCGCCAATTATGGCATATTCCATGCCACCAACGGGCAGGTGTTACGCGAACAATTTGGCGTCGTGCGCACCAACTGCCTTGATTGCTTGGATCGCACAAATTGTGTGCAGACGTATCTGGGCCTGGATACACTCAATTTGCAGCTGGAGGCCCTCAAACTGGGCGGTAAGCAGCAGAACATTTCGCGTTTCGAGGAAATCTTTCGTCAGATGTGGATCAATAATGGCAACGAGGTCAGCAAAATCTATGCTGGTACCGGCGCCATACAGGGCGGCTCAAAGCTGATGGACGGTGCGCGCTCTGCGGCACGCACTATTCAAAACAATCTCTTGGATAACTCTAAACAGGTTTGTGGAAATTTTCAAAAGTATGAACTACGGAAAGGTTATCGTAAAATCATGGGCTTTCACAGTGATCTCTTTTATATCTAAAGCAAACCTTTAATTATGTCTCCACTTTTGCTTTGCAGGAAGCAATCGATGTTCTTCTCGTAGGCTCGACACTCAGCTCGGAGCTGGCAGATCGTGCGCGTATATTGCTGCCCTCCAATATGTTGCACGCACCCACGACTACGCTGCGGGAGCTTTGCAAGCGATACACGGAATATGTTCGTCCCCGGATGGCGCGCGTTGCTGTGGGCACATATAACGTAAATGGCGGCAAACATTTTCGCAGCATTGTGTTCAAGGACTCGCTGGCTGATTGGTTGCTGGACTGTCATGCTTTAGCTCGTTCTAAGGCGCTGGTGGATGTCAACAATCCATCGGAGCATGTTGACCATCCCGTGGACATCTATGCCATCGGCTTCGAGGAGATAGTTGATCTGAATGCATCGAATATCATGGCAGCCAGCACAGACAATGCCAAACTGTGGGCCGAGGAACTCCAGAAAACCATTTCGCGGGACAACGACTACGTCCTGCTTACCTATCAGCAGCTGGTGGGGGTCTGCCTGTACATCTATATACGGCCGGAGCATGCGCCCCACATACGTGACGTGGCCATTGACTGTGTAAAAACTGGTTTGGGTGGTGCAACTGGCAATAAGGGTGCCTGCGCTATTCGATTTGTCCTGCACGGTAGCTCCATGTGCTTTGTGTGCGCCCATTTTGCTGCAGGCCAGTCGCAAGTGGCGGAACGTAATGCCGACTATGCGGAAATCACACGGAAATTGGCATTTCCCATGGGCCGCACGCTAAAATCGCATGACTGGGTGTTCTGGTGCGGCGATTTCAACTATCGCATTGACATGGACAAGGATGAGCTGAAGGAGTGCGTGCGAAATGGAGAGCTGTCCACGGTACTAGAGTTCGATCAGCTGCGCAAGGAACAGGAAGCTGGCAATGTATTCTCCGAGTTTCTTGAGGGTGAAATCACCTTCGATCCGACCTATAAGTACGATTTGTTCAGCGATGACTACGACACCTCGGAAAAACAGCGTGCGCCAGCCTGGACAGATCGCGTGCTCTGGCGTCGGCGCAAAGCCCTGGCCGAAACCGATTTCGGTGGCGTCGGCGCAGCTGCATGGAACCCTGGCAAGCTTATCCATTACGGACGCTCAGAGCTAAAGCAGAGCGATCATCGGCCCGTCATTGCCATCATCGATGCTGAGATAATGGAAATTGATCAGCAGCGCAGGCGTGTTGTCTTCGATCAGGTCATTCGGGATCTGGGACCACCCGACTCTACCATTGTGGTGCATGTGCACGAGCAGTCTGCGGATGCAGATGAGGATGGGCCCACTATTTACGATGAGCACGTTATGGCCGCGCTCATAGCCGAGCTCTCCAAAATGGGCGAGGTAACGTTGGTGCGATATGTTGAAGATACCATGTGGGTAACCTTCCGCAATGGTGAATCGGCGCTCAATGCGGCCGCCAAGCGGAGCACAGAGGTTTGCGGCTTGGAACTGGTCTTCGAGCTAAAGACGCCCGACTGGCCGCAACAGGTGGACAATGAAATCGAACTCTGCACCTCCAACACCATACCGCTGTGCTCAAATCCTGCGGAGCAGGCACAGCTGATGCAATTGACGCCAGAGGTGCCACAGCGGCCCAAGCAGCCACCGACACGTCCGGCGCCAGCACGTCCACCTATGCCTATGTCACCAAAGAACTCGCCACGTCACCTGCCTCACGCTGGTGTCATTAGCATTGTGCCGAAGCCGAATAAGCCGCCGATGCCGCCACAGCCCATGCAGACGCCATTGCAGCCAGTGCAGGTTGCGCCACCGCGACCGCCCGCCATGGTGGGTGATACTACGCCATCATCCAAATCACAGTCACCCACGGAGCCGGGTTCGCCGCTGCATGCTACGTCTGTGAGCTCGTCAAATTCATCCTCTGGCAAAGCGTCGCCCACAGGCGCTGCTCTACCCTCTGGTCCACCTACGCCACCGCGCCAGATGCAGAGCAAACAAGCAACGCCCGTGTCAACGCCAACGCGACAGTCCAAGCAACCTTCCTTGGAGCAACCTTCACCGCCAGATACCGTTTATGAAACGGCCAGCAATATATATGAGGAGATACAAGATGATGTTCCGGCTCCACGTCATCCGCCGCCAGCAGCTCCGCCGCCAGTTATTTGTGCTGTTGATAGCCCACGTCGGCAGCCAATGCCCACGGGAGCTGCTCCACTGGGTCCGCCACCACCGCTGCCCAATCGTCGTGGACCTCCGCCAATACCAAATCGCAGCGGCAATGCGCCGCCGCTACCTACACGGCCTACAAACAACTAAGTAGGATGCCAAGGGGTAAGCGAAAATCCAAAAATGTATTATAATTTACTAAAATACAAAAAATTACTTCCCATACCGGGAATCGAACCCGGGCCTTCTGGGTGAAAGCCAGATATCCTAGCCACTAGACCATATGGGAGGCTGTGTGTGGAAAAGTTTTGGGCACGTTTACAGAAAGAAATTTTTTAAGTTAATAAGCAACTGGCCAAATGGTCAATTGTGAATTATAAGTGTGCATGCATATGTAAATTGGCACACATTAGTATGGAAGATTTTAGATACTCGCTTTTTCGTTCTGCACAAGAGAAACAATATTAAATAAGTTGGAAAAAAGTTAATGATGTGGAATATAGTTGCCTATCAATAAGATATGTTTATCTGATTTGATTGAATATATATATATATATATTCTCTTTTTACTTACAGCATACAGTCTAGCACTTAATATTGATTGCAGTCCACTCTATTACATTCCGAGCTGTTGTATTTATCTATGGAAGTCGCATAACTTATAAAAATATATTATTTTTGCCAATTGTATTGTAGATATCATTTATATACGTGTTAAAGTGTTCCCAGGCAATAATAATAACCGAATTGGCATCATATGCATTCAATAGGCATAAAGAAGTGATTGTAAATCAAACAAAGCTTGGTTCGTTGCTTTCAAATCGAATCTTTCTGTTTCTGTTATATTAACACGCTTTATTACTTAACCAACACTGGGCGGACGTACTCACTAATGCACCAAATAAATAAGTATTTACGTATTTATGTTATTGATAGCGAGCAATCTGAACAAAACAAAAAAAAAAAACATAATAAAGTATTAAATTAAATTTACACATGTCTGTACATGTTTAAACAATTGTAGCCGTACTAGTCAAATTAACAACATAAAAAAGGTTTAGCTGAAAGTATAAACAAAGAACAAAAAACAAATAATGAAACTTTTATGAGTTGTTGTTACAGCTTCAACGATGAGAGCTCGCAATATTATAACTTATATCATTTGTTATCAGAGTTTGCTTCAAAAAAGGCAACAAAAACAGAAATAATAATATAACTAGTTAAAACTATGGACAAACCTTTCACATAAAAAGATACTAGCTAAAGTGTTGAAACTACAATGAGTTGAACTGTACAACTATTTATTGCATTAGACTTTAATCGGACGAAGCTAATGCACATACATATACGAAAACAATATCAAAGAAAATGCAAATTATGTTAAAATAATGTTGATGTTACAGAAATATGAAGTTGTATAAATGTTTAATCATCCAAAATCGATAAATAAATCAATAAATATGATGCATATAATACAAAATAGAATGTTGGCTGCAAACAATTACAATTTAATGTTTAATAATGTTTATTATTATTTATTGATGTCAAGCAAAACAAAAACTTAACACTTATTCTTCTACTAGTGCATGTGGCTTGGATTAGAACCATTTGGGAATCGCATCATTCGGAAGATTTTTGTGATTTGGCAAAGCCGTGCAGGGACGTTGCTGTCGCCAGAATTCCTGACGTTTGTTGAGGAAACAAACGGCCTCCTTGGCCAAGGCAGATATGTTCTCTGTGTTGGTGTCGGCACGCACCAGATCCGGATGCAGCAGAAGCTTCTCCAGGTACTCCTTGTCCACGCACAGCTCGCCCAGCAGCTTGCGTGCATTGCGACGCTCCAGATCCGCCTTTGTCGGCTTCTGGCGACCCACCTGTGGCCGCGAGCTGTTCAGCGTCTGGGACTTGGGCGTGTTATCACCGGACTTGCGCGACACGCTGTTTTTAGCAGCTGCCAAAGGCTGAGCGGATCGCGTTTTTGTGCCTATAGTATTCTCAATGGCTTCCTGAGTCTTCTGCACACCTAGGCGAAACAAGTCGAGTTCCGGGCGTGCGCGCAGACCGCGATGGAAGAACATGAGACTCTGCTCGAACTGGCCCAGGTAATAGAGAGACTCGGCCTTTTGATATATGGCGCGTATATTATTCTTATCCTCTCCAAGCGCCGTCTCAGCATCCTGCAGCGCCCTCGAGGGCTCGCCCAGAAGCAGATAGCATTTACTGCGCGAGATTAAGGCATTGATGTCCGTGCTGTTCAGCTCCAGGGCCTGCAAGTACAAGGGAACTCTCGTTATCGTTATGTAAGGCAGCATATGGGTGCATGTGCAGTTTGAAGGTGAGTCCTTTTTTTTTTAAACCTTGCAAAAGAAATGTATGGCATTTTCAGGATTCGCATTTTTGATCTCCTTGAGTCCCAGCGCAATGATGGAGCTGATGTCCGCCTCGTCGGGTATTAGCAGTGCCTCGTTACGATCCTGCTTCTGCTTTATTTGCAGACTTTGTTTGATGTCGAATGCGCCTGCGCTGACAGCCGCCGCGCGATCCTTGTCCGTGTAAAAGTCCACAAAGTTCTCCTTGGGCTTCTTCTTCTTCATCATCTGCTCTTCAATGCGTTTACGTGCCGCCCGCAGCTCTGCTTCGATGCGATTTCCACGCTTCGATCCGCTTGCATCCAAATCGTCCGGATGTTTACTAGCTCCGCGAGTTCCGCGTTCAGTCGAGGATTTGCCGCCAGTGCCATACGAGTCACGCCGTTCCCAAATGGGTGGCTTGTGAGCGGCACGACCCCGACCCCGACCCTTTGACCTTTTATGGGACTCATCCAATGATTCTTCGTCCGCATTAGCTCCCGTGCGTATGAAGCTCTGCAACAGCTCCTGCTCCTTATCAACAGCCAAAATGGTATTCAACACACTTGTGGACATTGTTCTAACTAATTAGGAGGCAGTTGGATAAATTGACTGCGAGCAAGTGTGAAAAATTCACACCTTTGTTCCAAACAAACGGTAATTGATTTGCCATTTGCCCTGTTGCCAGGAGACTGAGGCCAACTATATTTGGGCCAACAATCGATAACAAACAATCAATCAATACCATTATTAATGGCCAGGCCGAGTTGAATGGTTGACTGACCTTCAAAGTGTTAATTGCCGTTAGAGAAGAATCTTCTTTATTTTTTACTAGACATATTGTAGAATCGCAAAAGGGTCAAGATTTTTCTTTAAAATTTGTAAGAATTTCTAATATTTTCCATATGATCTTGACCGCCATTTGGATCCAGTAGAGTGGGTTTTTTTGGAGTTCTGAAACATGGTTCAGAAAACGTCAGCCATAAGTGCTTGAAAGTGAGTTTAAAGCCAACCAGCCAAACTACTTTGCGGTTGAAGAAACATTCAATTTCTTGTGATATAGAGTTTTGACAATAGGAACATGGACTTCATCCCGTACAGTCTTTGATATTGGGGGTGAATTTTCTAAAACCGAGCTCATTCAATTTAAAATTCCACCAATTGTCATCATTACGATTTGATTAGACTAAGCAAAGCTCTTTGCACATTGAATAATAATCGTTATTATTCGGCTGAGTTCTGATTTTAGGAAATATGGGTTATTTCTGCATTAATCTTGGAATAGTTTTCCCTTAAAGGACTCCTCGTAGGTGGCCGTTCATTCAGCAATAAATAAATATATTTATTACTAAACTATATATTATATTATAGATATATATTAATTAAATATTATATTATAAATGTATTTATTGCACAATGGTGGCCGTTAAAGCTTTTAAATGCACTCAGAGTATTCGCGCAGCGTACTGGGAAAGCTTCCTAAAAGCTTCTGGCGCCATCTAGTGTTCGTTTCAACTTGCAACCGTTACGTTCAAAATACTGAAAAGGCTGTCAAATTGTCACACAAAAACCATATTTACCTGATTATAGCCAGTTAAAGCCTTGTAGTATTCGCGAACTTTCATGTGATTATTGGACTGATCACAGAGCAGTTTTATGGTAGTTTCGATTTCCTCGATTGTGTCCACCTTTTGCTTTTTTCGTGGCATTCTGTGCAAGTTGCTTAAACGAAGGTCTTTATCTGAAATATATGTGAATTTAGGGATGTTAATTGTTAACTATGAACCAAGACAATTATCCCAAAAAAAAAAAAAAATACAGCCTGAATGTCGTATATTTATTAAAAAATCAAAATGTGTTGAGGCAAACCGATCCTTAAAGCATGGCAATGCAATTTTTGACCTAAAGCTTGGATTCAAGAGTGTGAAAAACCAGATGCACGTGGCTAAGCAAAAGCCAGGAAGTTGGTTTGAACCATAAACCGGATCAAATCGAGTTAAATCTTCATCTCAAGAGTACGAAAGATTTTTGATTAATTGCAAGTTTTTTCTTGAGTTGAACTTTTTATTGTTTTCCTTTGTTTCATTCACATCACGAATTTTGAATTTTACTTGTTATTTTTTTTTTATTGGCTTATTGTGTGCTTGTTATATGAAGTTCAGTACCAGTTTGCGTATATCAGATAGAAGGATATGTAAATATCCTTTGACCGTGTGCTCAGCTCAATAGCCGATTTCCAACTAAACTGTTTGCTCCTCTTTCATATTTTTCTAGCCGCCTTTTTCTCGTGCTCTTGTTGTGTTTCTTCCTTTTTTGGCTTGGATGGCAAAAGTTGTTGTTGTTTCTGTCGGTTGTTGTGGCTTTTGTAACTTGGCTTGCATGTGCTGACAAGTCTCAATAAACTTCAATAAACTCGTTTTAATATCTCAACAATTTGCTGCCCTTCTTAATTCCCTAGCAGACAAATATATCAAAAATATGATTTTTACTGCTCGAAAAGTTAATAGTTATAGCAATGCAGATATATAAACATATATATACATGCCTAATTAAAATAATTATAAATCAATGATGCGTTAACAAACTTTAATTGGAGCCCAAAAGACACGCACATTGTTCGTGTTGACGTATTTCGGTGCGTGAAGAGCCAGTTTTGTGGCCTAGGAAATTGCTTTGGCTAAAATTGTTTAATGGCTTTCTGATGATGCAACAACAATGCCGCAACAAAGTCAATTAAGTGCCGTCTGATAAGGGCCGCAGCCGACTGAGGGCAATCAATAAGCGGCGCCCGCAAAATGAGTCGCATTCATTAAAGGGGAAACCCCATTTATTGTCCCGAATGGCATTCATTTGCAGGGCACATATTGCATATGCAACATATTTATGAAACTATGCAAATTGCTATTAATTTTCTTGTATTGTTTTTAGAGTAAATAAATAAGTTTGATGTCTGAGAACCCAACCATCCATCCAGGCGCTGCAGACCTTGCGTGTTCCCCGCCCATTTGCTTGTGGCAGCAACCTTCGCGGCGTGCCGAAACAATTTTGTTTCAGAAGCAATCGCTGCCGTGTTGCTTTACATGTGCCACGCCCCAAGAGGAGGCGGCCCCAAAACAGAAGACCCAGCAAACTGTGGCCTATGGAACCTTGTCTGGGGCCGTGCCCAACTTCGAACTGACAGCTGCTTCTTATTCCTTTTACGACGTTGCAGACATGATGGAAGAATTATGATATTTGCATATGTTCAAGTTGAGAGCTCCACGAACTTAGTTTTAATGGGAAAATGGGAAATGGGAAAATATTGGCCTGGGCCCCGTTATGTGGGTTAGACTTTAATTCATGCTTGTATTTACGACATTTCCAATTCCGTTGACAAATTCAGGCGTTTCTAAAGGGAACACCACGATTACAATCGTTTCAATTGCTTGATTGTTGTGGGTGGAACTCGGCGGCATGCAATGAGATTGTCCCGAAAGCACGCAAAGGCACCTGTTGAGTCTATTCCTATTTGCTCTCATAGAATTGTGCACAAGGCTATCTATTCAAATTAGGCTCTTACCTTGCAAATGCCCAGTTACATTTAGTTAATTCTTAAAAATTAGCTTGTGCCTGTTTTTTGCCATTTGCTTTAACATGGAATCCGACCAAATATATATATGTATAAACTTAATGTCATCGACATCTCCAAGTTTACGACAAAATTATAATATCCTCCACAAAGGAATTTTTTATTTTTATCAGCAAGCATTCAACTTAATTTATACGATTTGTTTTAAAATTTTTTCAATGAATGTTTCGTTCTGAAAATCCATTGTGTGGAATATAAGTTTTTGAGCAAAATGCTTTTTTTTTTAATTATATCTATAATTCACTATTATTTAATCTAAATCGAACTTTCTATGCACTACAATACAATGCATTGTACTTTTTAACGTTTAAATCTCGATGCAGTCATAACATTCCGTTAGGATTTTTTGAATTTCATTTGATTTCTCAAAATTATCGATAACAAGTCAGTCGCTTATCCGACATGCATCATACAATCCCACAATTAGAAAATGTGGCAACACTAGTTACAAAAACCTCGCCGGCTGGTTAACAGGGCTTGGTGGGATATCTACCAATTGAGTTTTTCAAATTATATATATTCCCTTTAACAGATTTTTTTCATTTTGTGTTTGAATGTTTTATGTTAGCATGAAAATTAAATGTAACATGGTATGGTGCTCTCTCTCTTCGTTGCTACCGAAAAAATGTTTAGACGCTTCAATAACATTGTACTCAAAATGGCTCTGTTACAACGAGTGCAATGTGACCAGCAAATAAAATCTTCACCTCTTTCCAATTATTTTGATTTGTATGATGAGTAGCTTATTAACGTGGCTTTTTCTTTATATTTCTATGTCTGTTTTAAGCAAATGAGTGGCCTCATATTTATAACACCTAAGCAATCACTTCGGAAAGTTCAATGTCAAGGGCATTTATGCTCGTACACCGGCAGTTTCAAAGCAATTAGCTTCTGTCCGTGTGTGTAGATACATATATATACATGTACATGCCCATACATATATATTTATATGTAAATATATATACACATATGTTTGAGAATTTTGCTATTCACATATATGTACATATATATGATAAAGTTTGCTTCTAGGTACAACTATTTATATCAAGTTAATTATGCATTTTTCCCCGTTTGTTTGACACGATTCCAGTCGCAAACAAAGTCAACCCAAATTTCTATTGCTTATCTCCATCTGGGCGAAAAAATCAATAGTTGCATCAGCAAACAGGCGATTTCATAATTGTACTAAAAATGCGGTAATGTTTTGTGTTTTGTTTTTATTTTTTTTTATATTTGTAACGAGATTAGGTTATATAATTTATGTAACTGTTTTTGCTCGGTTCAACAAACAGGAGAGAGAAGATCGGTTGGTAATACAATACAAAACATACATATGTAAAAACATATGTACATATGCTGAGTGAACGTATACGCGTGTATGTATGTGTGTATGTATGTATGTATGTATGTTGTGTGTTTTTATTGGGTAACTGTGTAGTTGTGTGGGCGAAAATCGGATCCCTCTCATCTATAGTTAAATGCTACACCTCCTGTTTGTGCGTATTGAGAAGTTAACATTGTGTTAGCTGCAGCTTTTTATATAATTTAATCCTTGCTCTGCATGTACTTGATCAAGTCAATGACACGGTTGGAATAACCGAACTCGTTGTCGTACCACGAAATCAGCTTAACGAACTTATCGTTGAGCGGGATGCCGGCCTTGGCATCGAATACGGACGAGTGAGTGTCGCTGAGGAAATCGGTGGAGACGACCTCCTCATCGGTATAGCCCAAAATGCCCTTCAATGGACCGTTGGCAGCCTCTTGTACTTTGGCCTTAATTTCATCATAGGTGGCACCCTTGCCCAAGCGCACGGTCAAATCAACAACAGAGACATTTGGTGTTGGCACACGGAAAGCCATGCCGGTAAGTTTTCCATTCAGAGCTGGAATGACTTTGCCGACGGCCTTGGCGGCGCCAGTGGATGCTGGAATGATGTTTTGGGCAGCACCACGACCATCACGCCACAACTTGCCGGAGGGGCCATCGACGGTCTTCTGGGTGGCTGTGGTGGCATGCACAGTGGTCATCAGACCCTCAATAATCTCAAAGTTATCATTGATAACCTTAGCCAATGGGGCCAAGCAGTTGGTGGTGCAAGAAGCGTTCGACACGACCTTCATGTCCGGGCTGTATGCATCCAAGTTCACGCCGCACACGAACATGGGCGCATCAGCGGAGGGTGCCGAAATGATGACCTTCTTGGCACCGCCCTTCAAGTGAGTGGAGGCCTTATCGATGGTGGTGAAGACACCGGTCGACTCAACCACATACTCAGCGCCAGCGCTGGCCCAGTTGATGTTGGCTGGATCGCGCTCACTGAAGACAGTGATCTTCTGGCCGTTGACAACCAGGAAGCCGCCCTCGGCAACAACGGTGCCCTTGAAACGGCCGTGGGTGGAGTCGAACTTGAACAGGTAGACCATGTAGTTCACATCGATGAAGGGATCGTTAACCTGAAAATTACACAAATACACACAAATTTTACGTTCAACTCCAACTGCATCTTTTCGGCGGCTTCACTTACGGCAACGACGGAGGCGCCTTTGTCGATAGCGGCACGCAGCACCAGACGACCAATGCGGCCAAATCCGTTAATACCAATTTTCGACATTATTAAGTTTTTTCTTTTTTCTTTTTAATTTGCCTGGATCACACTTTTACTTTCGCTCAGTTCACCCGTCAGGAATCAACTGCAACTGCTCTGACTAAATCGACTTCAGATAGAGCGTTTGCGTTTGGCTGAGTTCAAAGTCAAATGAAGGACGTTTACGTCACGCCCACCCCACTACAAAAGCATGGGCAATTTGACCGCAATATTAAGCTGAATGCTATATGACGCACGCGCATTTATCAGCAGCGATGTTGCCGCCGCCAACTTCACGCGACCTAAAAGTATTCGAATAGCAACTCTTCGAGTACCCATTAACTAACCGCAAAAAGCCCGCCAAAAATGGTTAGCTTTAAAATGCTCAAAAAGTTAAGCTGGGACAGAGCTCTTAATAGCTTATTGACCAAGTTGAAATTATCTGTCAACGAGTGATTTATTTAATACCATATAAACTCTATTAGTGGTTGTAAATAAAATAACAAATAATTGAACTAAAGTGGCTCTCAAACTGCGGAAAGCTTCCCAGTTCGTGTGGAAAAATACCCTAAAGCTTTTATGGAGCCACCTAGCGTTCGTTTTAAGCATAGCTGTTATTTATTCAAAATTAAGAATTTCGAACTGCAATAATCTCCATATAAACTGTTTTCCTGGCTGACTGAATGACTCATGAACCAATCCCAAGCCTTTAGAGCTAGGAAGCTAGTGCTTCACACTTTTCGGAAAGCCCATTCCTCCTTGATGAAAGCTAAAATATATGTAAAATATAATTTGGAAAGTCGGAGGGTAGATTGAAAATGTGAACGTGCTTAAAAGTAGACATTAGCTGGAAAGTAAGCACATTACGAGACTCCAAAGTATACTGCAAAATTAATGTAAGTTAAAGTTCCGTTAACAAACATTAATTTAAAACTAAAAGTCACGCACATTCATTGTTGTTGTTTACGTTGCGTATAAAATTCAATGCAACGTTTAATGGATTTTTGATGATCTTCCAATAATGCGCATATTTTTATAGATTAAATTATTATTATGTATAAATGCTGCAAACTCTGATATTCACACTGGGGCTGCTCGAATGCTTAGTGATAATGATCAATGTGACCAGCCGAAGCGAATTATAAAAGTCCGTCTGGTCCCTCAGTTTTAGATATATCTTAATGAAACTTTCGATATAAAATTTATCAAAGTATGTGGATGCGATAAGAGAAAGAAAGAACACACAACAAAAGAAAATAATATTATAGCTCTAAAGTTTATTATGTAAATAACATTTTACATGATATATACATAGATACATATACCTTTATCGTATGCATAAACATATGATGAGTTTTTTTTTTTTTTCATTTCGACACAAAATTCGTATTCGCTTTAACTACTCATACATCGAGAACTTCAACTTTCATAACTTTAACATACATACATGCTTTATAAATAATTTAAAGTACTTGCAGTAGTTGCATGCAATTGAAAAGGCCACGCCCAATTGCCTCTTACTGCCCACCGGCACGCGGCACATTGTCATACGGCACAAGGACGCCAGGAGGTCCACCAAAGCGGTTCTGATGATGGCTGGTAGCAGCACTGACCAGCTGGGGCTGTGGCTGGGGCTGTTGCGATTGCTGGAAGGGTCTGGGCGCATTCTGGGGACTGAGCACGCCGCTGGGTGCACCAAAGCCGCCCGTATAGCGTCCGCCATTGGCATTGGCCACAGCGCCCGGACGCACCTTGTTGGCCTTGACATTGGTACTGAACTCATGCTCATTGCCGGCGACATAGATGTCTGGCTTGGCGGCACTTTGTGGACGCAATAGACCAGCCGGTGCGCCAAAACCGCCCGTATACTTGCCCGTATTGCTGGCCGCCGCCGGCGATGCGGCGGTGGATGCTTGGAACACATTATTTTCTTGCGCATCTGCAAGATAATTCAGTTTAGTTTGGACTTCAAAAAACATGCCAGTTGGAGACTTACCCTTGCGCAGCGTGTTTACGGGTGTGCTGATGACCTTGCCCTCCTCGCTCTTGGTGTACTCAACCTTCGGACTGTCTGCCGCATTGCCATTGAAAGGTGGGAACTGTTCCTCAGCGGTGGCTGTACCTAGTGGCGTTGCCGTAGGCGTTAGGCTCTGTGCCGAGATCTGCGTTTCCTGGCCAGAAGCAGGCGTATCGAAGCGTGCTGCAAAATGCGTATATGAGTTTGTAGTAGGATTGAGGTCTGACGCAGTGCCGAGTGCAGGCGGCGGCGGCGACGTTTGGCTGCTGGAATCGCTGCCACTGCCACTGCTACTGTCACTGCTACTGCTAAATGAGGATGGTTCGTCGCTGTTGGCGACAGGTGGTATCAGCACCAGCGGCGGCTCCACAGTGTTTGATTCATGGCCACCATGGCTGTGGCTGTGGCTGCTGCTGCTGCTGATGGCTGGAAGCGGAAGCGTGACTTTGGATGGAAAAGCGGAGGAGTCGGTTTCAGCTGGCGCTGAGGTGGTTGATGTCGTTGTTGGTTCTGTTAACTGAGATCTAATGTGGCTACCTGGCAAGCCCTGAGGCTGAAAGTCATTGGGCTTGGTACCGCCCGGTTTCTGGCCACTTGCGACAGGCGTCTCCTTAAAGTTGTCCGGATTATAGGGCACGCCGGGACCCACATCAGGATAATCGAAATCTTGCAGCCACGGCGGCAATGTAGCCGAGTTAAAGGGATTCGGCTCAACAGGCACCGCTGGCGTCGTGCTCGTCTTCGCTGGAGCTGTGTGGATTGTGGTTGTTATCAGTTGTGGTTGCCGAGTGGTTTGTGCTTTCAATATGGGTGCTTTAGTGGTGCGCGCTGCTGTTGGTTGTGCTACGGCCAACGGACGTCTTGTAGTCGTTGTTGTTGTGGTCGTAGTTGTCGTTGTCGTTGTGGATGTGGTTGTTGGTGTGGGTGTGGGTCGCGTGCTGGCTGGCTCCGCAGTGGGCGGTGGTGTCAGCTGAAGATTGTGCAGGTCTACAAACGGCTCGAAAGGCGGCTCTAGATCCACGGCCAGGCTGTGATTGTACTGATCATTGTCCGTGGGCACAATAAAGGTGACGGCCACATCCAGATCCGGATCGGTTACCTCCTGCAGCCAGGGTGGCAATGTGTAGGCATAGGCCTCCTCATTGTCCAGCTTATAGAAGGTGGATGGGTCCACAGGTGTAGTGCTCGTGCTGGGTGCTAGTGTCGTGTGTGGGCGTGGCGTTGTGGTGGTAGTACTTGTGGAAGTTGTGGTTGTTGTGGGGGTCACTCTTTGTGTGGTTGATGGAGTGGCTGTGGTGGTTGCAGCGGTGGTTGTGGAAGTACTGCGCGGCTTCTGTGTGGTTGGGCTTGTGCTATAGTGGACCGTGCCGCGATGGCGATTGGGAAATCTTGAGCCGTTGCGTGGCGTGGTGCTGCCAATATGTGCATTGGTGCCATGCTGATCGGGTCCATCGTGCTCCACGGTCACAACAGCCACCTGACCCGGCGTCAGGGGCGCGGGCGCCACCGGCGACAGGCCCTGGCTGCTGCTCAGACTGACACGGATGTTGTGACTGCCCGGCTGCTCCACGCCCACCACATGCTTTGTGGGCTGCTGCTCGGTGATGATTTGTGGTTCGGTTTGTGGCTCTCGGGGCGTTTCGAATGGCGGCAACAGATCCCAGGCAATCACACTAAGGGGCGCACCATTCGGTGCTGGTGTCCAGGGTACAGGTCCGCCAATATCCTTATCCTGCTGCTGCAGCTCCAAGAGATAGTCGGGCAGGGTGCCGCCGGTCAGCTGAGGCGCCTGGGCACTTTCCTCTTGCTGCTGTTGCTGGGGCAAGGGTATCAGCTGGGCCTGCTCCACTTCCACAGAGACATCCGCTGAGGTAGTTGATGATTCATGCTTGGGGGGTGTTAGTGATGTGGCTGGTGCTGGTGCTAATGAGGAGGTGTTGTTGTCGGTGCTGGCGATGTCCGAGGTGGGTAGCGCCACCGCTATGGCATCTAGTTGGGAAGGAGTTGGATTTGGAGTTGAGTATGTGGCGGCAATGCTATCAATGCGCTTAGAACTGTTCTGTTTGGGTCTGGGCTCTTCGGCTCTTATATTAATGGGTGCGGATTCGGGCTTGAACTCTGGATTGAGTGTCAGCAGGGTAAAGGTGGGTGGTGCATGTTTGGCACTTGCCGGTACTATGACATATTGCTGTGCAGATGATTCGCGCTTGACATGGTTCGAATCGGGGTCGTAATGTGCATTTGTTAGTTCTACTACGGGTGAAGGGATGCGGGATGCGGGTGTGGATGTGGGCGTGGCTTTAAAGCTTATGCTAGTGGTGCTAATTAGGCTACTAAGTGGAGGCGGTGCTACTAAGACACTTGCTATTGCCGCTTGTGAGTTGCGTGCTTGATTTATGCCTTTGCTCAATGTGGATGCTGTTGTTGTTGTTGTTGTTTTTGTTGTTGCTGCTGTTGTTGTCGTTGCACCGCTGGCGTTGCCATCTGCTGCCGTACTCTTTGCTGTTGCTGTTGCTGTTGTTGTTGTTGTTGTTGTCAACTCACCAATGTGCGGTGGCAGCAGGTCATCTGCAGGCTTTCGTATCGCGGTTATGCCGGACGCATAATTGGGTATCTCGAATTGCAGGCCCTGAGCGCTGACCACCTTGCGCCCGTCGGGCGTGTCGATCGGACGCAGTGCATCAATGGGATTGCCATAGCTATCAATGGTCCGATCGCCGCCCGCCTTGAACGCATCGTCTGCGGCAGCCTCAAGCAATGGCGGCTGCAATTCTAATGAAAATGGCGATTGCCGAACATCTGCAGAGAAGGGGGGAAATTTGTGGTTGTTCTTGTTGTTGTTTGTGGTTGCGACTAATGTACATATATGTATGTGTGTGTGTGTGTGTGTGTGTGTGTAAACTATGCTGTTTAATGTTTATGCTGTTTATGTGAGTGTGTCATGTGGTATGGTAAATGCAACAAGATGTCAGAGATGCAATTTGCTGGCACTTTTCAGAGAGTTCAAAAGTGTTGGCAACAGAAGGCATAGAAGAAGCGACTGCGACTCTGTTTGGGAACTGAAGATGAGACAGATGTGGTGGCAGTCCGTGGGTGGCTCTTTGCCAATTTGGCTGCCATTGCCGCTGATTGATTGACATTGGCTTAAATGGCCTATATATATATATATATATTTCGTGTCGTTGTTGTTGTTGTTGTTGTTGTCTCACGTTGTTGCTGCAGCTGCTGTTGTTGTTGTTGCTGTTATTTAGTTGACACATAACACACTTATACACGAGCACAGGCCAGTTGGGTCAATAAGTAAATGCAGCTGTGTGTGTGTTTAATTGACAGCCAATCAAGTTCGTTGCCTGAGTCTTTTGTTTGCCTAAGCTTCAAGCAAAATGTCTACTCGGATCTGAAACAACGCACCATTTCAACTGAGCAGCGCAATTCTGAATTTATATTTATGCCTGTATTTCCCTTCAATATATAAGTTAAATTTCATTAACAAAATATTTCATAACTGGGCACAGCCCGTTACAAATAGCGAGTGAGGCATATGCATAAATGTATATTAGGCATGAGGATGTTTATTCTTGAACTCACAAGCTAAACCAGTAAAACTTGATCAGTTCAAGCGATCAGTCTTGATCGCGAAGCCGCGCCCACATTAAACTAACTTTAACTAGCTAAATGTAAATATGCATATATATATAAATATTTCTTAAAATGTTCTCAGCGACTCTTCAATTGCTTCTGAGCGTATTCTGGCGTTAGACAAATTCAAATTGATCAGTACTTGAACTAGATTCAATCGTGATTCGAATTGCAATATGTTCGGCATGAATAAATGTCTATAAAAATTACTCAAACTAGAAACTAGTAAATGGCATATTCGGGAACCCTGAACTTGCATTTCCTGGATAGAGCAAATATATATAGTATATATATATACATATAGACATTATTTTATATCTAAATAGCAATGTTATTAAAATATCCCATATATATATATGTATATACAGATTTTATCAGATGCCAATAAGCGGCACTGTGTGAATCAAGTTAGCTGCTGTGTATTAAAAATCTATACAATAATTTAATTAGAATGTGGGGGAATTCTACAAACAAAGCGCTTAGAATGTAGTTAGTCACAGGTCGCGACAGACAGAGAAAAAGAGAGAGAGAGAGAGAGAGAGAGAGAGAGACAGAGTCAGAGATCGGCACGGAGAGTTTCTGATGATCAGCAAGACTCGAATAGGCCAAGTTCCGGCTTCTAAGCATATGTGCATATGTCAATTCATTGCTATCTTATTTATGTCAGTTAATTCGCATTCATATTGTTATTAAAATAAATAATCAAGCACAGACATGCTGCCTGCTTATCAGCCTTAGCTGAAAAATGATGCTGCGCGCTTTTATCAAGAAACGTTTCGAGTCCCTGAACCCTTCGTGCCTCAAGCAATCTGGCGTCGCCAATGCTGCAGCTCATAAATATGAATTGTCTACAGATACAAATGTCAGATATGACTATATATCCAAGCTGACTTTTATTGTATTCGGCTGGTTACGCCTCGTACACAAGCTGGGAAAGTGTTTGTAGCCCGAAGTTAGCGAATAAATAAATGTGCAAAGCTGCTCAGATTGCATCTGATGTAATTACCAGAAAAAGAATTCTACAGAAATATGAGACTATGTCTATGCTTAACGGTATTATGTTTTCAATTGGAAAAAATCAAGCTCTCGATCTTTGTTGCACGCCGCAAAAACTAGTTGAAATTAGTTTTTCCGTCAAGTTCAGTGCCAATTAATGTTCGCTTGTTGTTTAAAAACATTATTTTTTTTTTTGTTTGTTATTTGAACATCATTTTTAATTGAACTTTTAATTGATTGGCAACTTCACGACATTTGCACCCACCGAAATAAACACAGAAACACAATGGGATTATTTCAAGTTTATCATTGTTTTTTTTTTTGCCAGTTTTACAGTTTGATCGTTGATTTTTTGACAAGTTTTTTGTGTTTTGGGCAGCCTTCGCTAAAACTATAAAAACAAAATATATTGACGGTTTTATTAAACTCAGCCCGCGTGCGTTGTATCATCTCTTGCCTTGAGTTATCGACTTATTGAGCTGTTGAAAATCGCACAGCCCACACGAAGATCATGCTGATCATGCGCCAAAAAGAAAAGAAAAAAAAAAAACTTTATCTTTAGCACATGATATGCGATTAATAATTCCCACAACAAACGTGTCTCACGGAAACCTGCACTTGACGCAAACGTCAACGATTAAAATAATCAACGAAACTAAAAGCAAATAAATCAAACTGCGGCTTAAATATCTACTAAATATTCCAGTTACGGCAAAATTGATGGAAAACCCCCATTGAGCAGCTATAGAAGCTATAGTTCACTTAAGATCGGGTCTAGCGACAACTAGTTTAGAGATTCACCAAGTTTTCGGTCTAAGCCCAACTGCAATGCTCGACTTAATATGTATTCATTTGCACTTATTTATTGCCATAAATGAAAAGCCATTAGTTAGAGCCCAGAAAGTCGCTCAGATGCATCGCAGATAGTCAGATATTAATTATAACTATCTGCGCTTTGTGCTTGGCTTTTGGCTAATTATGAAATTTGCAGTTCGCAGCGGCTTATATAAATTTTGGTGAAATAACAAAAGCTCAAGCATAAATCACAATAAACGGAAAATAAGCCAACGTTTCATTATGGCAGACCCTAATTGTGCACAACAGTAACAACAACAGCAACAACAATAACAAAGGCAAAAGCGAGCCAATAAAATTCGTGCGAATTTGTTAATTATCACGTACAGGCATCTTTAACGAATCGCCCAAATTTATATATATATATATATATTGTCGACAAGTCGTGTGAATGGCAGCGTATAGAGAAAAAGCATTTAACAACAAAATTGATTATAAACTATTGAGCGTGAAACGATGCCATTTCAATTGGCCATTCAAGTATCTGGCCAAAAAGCCTTTTGTGCTAGTCTCTGCGAATTGGTGAAACAATTAGCGAATTATTCAGTTGATTGTTCAAATCAGATCCACATTAATACCAATCAGGGGACTTTGAACTGTTGTCAGAACGGATGAGTGCAAGTGTGAATCTGTGAATAAAGCTTTGAATAATCAGCTTATGCCCATTTGGCTAAGACTCCCATATCTATCGGCTGTTGTCTTGCTAAAGAGTCCGTGTCGAAAATGCAATTAACCTCTTTTCTGGGCTCCGTGACCCAAAATGAGTCCGTGTTGTTGCCAACAAGCTTAACAAATTGTCATAACAATTTATGAACTGGCTGGGCACTCAGCCAGAGGCACAAGATGAACGGCCTTTAAGTGTGGAAGCTGCACTTAAAGAAGTACCCAACCCAGAGGTCGCACTCGGAACTCTGAACTGCCCAGGCAGCTGGCGTTCCCGCCTGAAGGCAACCCAAGCCCAAACCCAAGTCGAAGCTGAAGCCGAAGCTGAAGCCTTGCCAGTCATGTCATGTGGCACTTACATAAGGTTTGTTGTTTTTTTGGGGTTTTTTTTTTTGTTATTGTCTGGGCCTTGTTTGCAGCCGGCGGCTTCTTGTGCTTCATCTCGAGTTTCGTTTACCCCAAGTCGCCTTCGGGCATGGAACGTTGTTTATGTTTTTTCTTTATTTTTTTTTTTAACCTGCTACTTGATTTGGCTCAAGCTGATCTGTAGGGTTTCTTGTTTGTTTACCAAACAAACAAAAAAAAGCGAATCAGTGTCGCATTTCATCTGGGCGCATTTGTCAGCTAATTTAAGGCGCTTGACCGTGGGATGAAGATCCGTGAAGATGTGCCCGATGAGTACCCACAAGATGCAGGAACAACAATTAATAAGTTTTGGAGTTTTAAGGAGCTCCCATATCATGTTTGGATGCTCATGAAACACATAATACCCATGTATGCAGAGAGAGTTTGTTAAATGAAGTGTGCTTGTGCTGGGAATTAGTAACAATTGGATGATAGTTAAGGGCACAGTTCCAATAGAGACTCAAAGGACAACAATATATATTGTTATTTACACTTATTTGCAACGACTAAAAGTTAGTTAAGGCTTAAAGTAGAACTAGGCTTATGTATAAGGAAAAATTGTTGCACAGTTGATGACAAATCTAAACAAATATTTTGAACTATTTTTTTAACAAAAAAATATGTGCATTAAAAACAATTTCCATCAACCTTTGAAAGATATAAAAATCTGATATATTTATTTTGGTATTTTTAAAAAACTTTTTTAAAAATGAATTTTATAAATTTTAAAAATCAGAAATGGAAAATTTACATCTTTACTGCACATATTTAAATTATATAAATAGATAAATAAATGAATAAAAACTATAAATTGTAATCCGAAATTCCATCAAGTCCAATAGATGGAAATAGCATGCGTATAAAGACGTATCTCAAGAAAGCAACACGACACAGAAACGCAAATAGGCGAAAGTCGAGAAGGAAATTACAAGCGAACACTAATTAAATATCGTATGGCTATGCGAATTGGTTACGAATTCGAATACGAAATCGTATAAAAATCGTAATCCAGATCGAAATGGCATATGCTGTGCATGCATGTATGTATGTGTGTATGTATACCAGGCCTCCCAGCTGCGGCGTCGATCTTCAGCAGCGCCAGAGCTAGCAGCAGCGTAACGGTTATACCGGCGCCTGCGCGACTGCGCTGCTCGGACTTAAAACTGCGCATTTGCATTTTCGGTTTTGGCAACTCGAAATTCGAACTCGTCTAAGTTTTTCAGTTGTTGTTGTTGTTGTTGTTGTCGCTGTAGGATTTTTGGTGTTCGAATTTGTCACGCAACCGAAATTTTAGAATTGGGCATTGCCCAAAAGCCGCGAGGAATAATTAGCGCGTAGGCAGAATAACAATGATGCAAAACAAAAGCCAACCGTACGAAATGATGCTGTCAGGGATGACAAAATCGGCAACGCGACGACGCGAACGACGCAATCTGCACCGGCGTGTGCACACAAGAAACCTTATTGCCAAATACAAATAATATGTAATATTAATTTTTTTTCCCGTATTTATTTTAGCTGTTGCGACTTGCACACAAAATTCAATCAATTGTGACACGATTTCACGACTCGCAATCGCTGCGAGCGAGATGCGCCGGAGACTGTAACGGAGACGAAGACAGCAGAAGATTAGACGAGCGAGGCGCTCGAGCGTAGCAGAAACACGTCCGTAGCTCACGAGTTCTGCGCTTTTAATAAACGCTGCTGCCGTCAGAGGCAACGAATGAAGCTTGGCTTATGCATGGGCTTAAAGTTGACGCCGACGGCGCACAGTGGTTGACATTCGATTTAAGTTGGGCGAAAAAGTATACCAAACACACGATTGCTAGAAGTTGGGTTTTTTAAAAGAGCTTGAAGGAGAACTATTGTAAGCTGCAATACTGTGAGATAAAATATCCTTGCAAGCAAATATATATATGTACTTTTTTCAAATGGAAAATGCACTGATATGCACTTTCAACTGTAAGCCCATTACATTGACTATTGACCCAATGTAAATCTGTTATTCAGCGGCAGCAGAGATCAAATATGTACATACATACATATTAAACAAATTTCCCGAGCAAATTGAAATTGAACAGCATGCAGCTACGTTTACAGTGTTGCTTTTGCCACTCTCGTTTTCGTTGTTATTTGGGAAATTTTTAACATTATTCTATTAGCATAGCTACATGCATACATGCATGTATGTACATGCGAGCATGTGTGTAGGCGTCCAGCCAAGACCAAAGGCCGATTGTATTGTTACCTTTGCAATGCGCTTGAAAACCGGGAAATAGTGGAAATTAATTGCTGTAATTGCCTTAAACTTATTAGACAGACATATGTACATTAGTTTGCATACCCGGTGCGCGCTTTAGTGATGCATTGTCAATGTCGCTCAAGGTCAAAACTAACATTCGCCTAACATGGGCTTAACATACTGTTATTGACAACTGCGACTGTTTCCAAACGCGCACACGTTTCAACACTTTTGCATATACACATATTTATGGATATTATGCAAATTATAAATGAAAATGAATGTGTTAATGCTAGAAGCATTCGTTTCTTTATTGTTTGTTTATTTAGACAGGCCGGTTTGGTTTTTGAGATCGAGCTTAAGCTCGCCTATGTATCATCTGTCAGTGTGACGTGCTCAGACTCGAGTCGCTGCTAACAATGCATAATTTATGCCAGTCAAATACATATTTTAAAATACATCCACATCTAGCTATATATATATATATATACATAGAATAGATCCTGTTCTTTGACAGATCGTTTTTGGCGGCTTTCGCTTTCAGCATCGAACATCGAATCATTAAACTTGTCTTTTTATGAGCGGCACTTCTTTTGTGAGGCAAATTGAATTCTTATAGCCAGTCGATCTAGCTTTAGTCATCAATTGCATTAATTCGGCATTTTGTGGATTGAGTCAGCCGCTTATATTAGATCACATTGAGTTGTGCAATCCTGCTGGTTGCGATCATTGATCTCTTCAGAGGAGTCTGCTGCGATTCGATTGCACAATTCCGTGAATTGGCACTTTCTGGAGGCTCTCCGTTGGCTTTGCTCATGTGTCTCTGGCTCACAATATTCCGGGCAGGGTCCAGGCCCGTTTTCAACCTAATGCCCCAAAGAAATGATGTCGGCTACCATTTAAAGTCTGGTTCCGCATTTGGCATTTCGTATTACGACTTCGACTGCGCTTCCTATGACCACTAATAATGAGCATGGGCATTAGGCATCACGGCTAGCTGGGCATTATCATTACTGTTACAATTACGGCAAAGATATTACCAAATGGACACGGCGCGAAAAGGCGCCCAGTTTGGCCCGTGTTGTTGTGCGCCCGCCGACAATAAATCAAAACTCGCTCCAGAGCCAAACAAAGCCATCGATGGGACGACGCGCCGAGGCGTCAGCGGCGTCAAAGAAGTAATCAAAATTGTATTACGAAAACAAACGTTTTTATAAATTTTGTTTCTCGTTTTTGTTTCGCTCCTACCTATAACAATGGCCCACGGCCCAAACAGATGCCGTTGGCAGCCTCAAGTCGAACTTTGAGTGGAGCTGCCGCAAAAGAGCCAAGTCAGCAGCAACAACAACAACAACAACAACAACAACAACAGCAACAAAAATTAACAACAATGCAGTGACAGCATTCACGCTATATATTATTTACTTTAATAGAGCCGGAGACCGCTTAGTCGGGAGCTCTCGGCTGGAGTTGGGAAATGGAAATGACGTTGACGCTGCGCATGCGTAATCCGAAAATTGAAAATTGTTGGCGACCCTTCACCTGCGGGGTTTTTTTTTTTTTCTTATTATTATTATTAATTGTTATAATCATTAATTTGGCAAACATTAAAGGCATTTGTTTCACAGTTGGATTCCCACCTTAAAGCTGGCGTTTCCGTTGAAAATAAATGCCAAATATATTCGATAAATATTTTTAAAATTGTTTTGTCGTAAATACTGATGATATCGTTACCCGTTTCGGGTATTCAATAAGTGCAATTGTCGACTGCAGGCCCACACGAAAATTGTTTCGAAAAACATCAAAAGTGAAAAACAAAAACTTGATGTCATATGAGGGAGACCAGTTTTGAGTGCGGCTGAACCAGTTGGAGCGCATCTTCTATAGCCATACAATTTTATTGCAAAAATATTGAAAAATGCGTTAAAGCAACAACAACAACAACAAGATCGACAATGACAGCATAAGCTTTGTTGGTCACCCTGACCTTAACACGAATTTCGGCTTAATATCAAGTGGCAACTGGCTACGTGCACAGCCTTTGGACAAGTCGGGATTGAGACAAGAAAAAAAAAAAACAATTTCAATTTACAACTGATATTTTGATATTTTGTAAAAATTCGACATGCCCGATTACAATTTATTGGTGAAGCTTAATAGAAATTCCTTGGCCGGTTGAGTCATAAATGAGATGAATGGCGTTGGGTCGTTGAATTAAAACCCTCAAGGCATCAAAAGTCATTAAACGTTGTCTTGTTTTCGAGCGCGCGGAATTTGTGGTTATTAATTTGCGTGGGTTTTTTGTTTTCGCATAATCGCGCATTACCACATAGAAAGAAAGCCAAGAATCAAAAGAACTGGTTTTGAAGCTCACAAACTCAAACGGAAACTTAATACTGCATACATGGTTTATATCGTAAGCATGTGTCTACAATTTCGGTTCATATATTCTATATAATTCTATCGCAAGACATAACCACTGTTAATATTTGAAAACCCGTTAAAAACGGTTGAACGGTTAAACGGTTACTCTGTTAGCGACAGTTCCAGCTGCCGATAACAGGAACCGATTGTCCACCTCTAGTTCGATTGAATGATCTAGCTCAGAGGTTCAGGGGAATAAATTACTAACGGAACTTATAAGTGTTAACTGCATATATTTATTGCGACGCAAGCAATTAGGTTTTGTTGGCAAATAAGCAAGATAATTCGTATAAGTCTTGGCTTAAGTAGATACGATAAACAGTTTTCGGCAACTCTGTCAACCCTGCCAATCAGCTGCAGATGTCCAAGCTAAACAACAAATACAGAAAAACGAAGATATTAAACTGAAGCACAACAATAACAAATGAGCGCCCTCTTTCGCAGTCTGAGCAATTTTTCGACAAAGCGCGAGAATGTCGTCAAAGAAGCGTTGATAAACACACTAAACGAAAATGCCAGAGAAATCGAGTTTGAAGTGAAGCAAAAAGGATTGGGTAAGTCCCCAATTCAATGAAACGACAATGACTCATGAAAAACTCTTGCAGAGGTGCTGGGCTTGTGTGAACAGACGAGCGCCTTGTGCACTACATTAGAAGCGTTGTTCCTGCATGGCCTGAAGGACTCGTTTCTGTGGGCCACCATCAATGTTATTGCTGGCGATGTGGAACGGCGGCCGGAGCCGAGCTTCTGGTCGCCGGCAATGGTGTTCATGCACAAGCAGGTGATCGAGCAGATTCAATGCCTAAGTCAGATTACCTCCGAGATTGGACAGTGCCGGGCCTGGGTGCGGCAGTCGCTCAACGACTCGGTCTTCTCGGCATATTTGAACAACATGCGCAAGAATGGGTCGGCCTTGCGGCCGTACTATAAAAAGGACGCGCTGCTTAAGGATAGCGAAGGCTTGGAGACAGCGGCAAAGATTATGGAGAGCCTGGAGGCCTATGTGTCATTCGATTTGCCCGTCAACTCAAGTCTGTTGAATCAATGGCCTGACTATGCGCTGCAGCTGTCCGATCTGTGGACGCCGGCACTCAAATCCTGCCCGGTGCGTGTTACACAAATGGAATTAAGATCACCACCTAATGATGTATCTTTTATAGATTAGCAGCGGCGTGGATGTGGTCAGCTCGTTGGCTACGGAAATTGTGGCTATTCCTACACCGCAGCCACTTCACACCAATGAGCTCTTCTCGGAGTCCATTTCGAATAGTCCATTCAGTCGCGGCGGCCACTTTGGAAATCCGGATCTGAACCAACAAGAGATTCTGGATTTGTTTATGCAAAAAGTCGACGAGATGGATATTATTAAGGAAGAGCGATCGCCCACTCTGGAGGAGAGACAGGAAGTAGATATAGCCGCAACTGAGGCTGAGCCCGCAGGCAGCAGCAGTACTCAGGGAGCTCGAAAGCGTTCCGTGCGTCACATCGAGGAGTCTTTCGCTGAGCTGCCGCAGGGCAGCAATTCTTTGACGAATCTAATGCAGACCTCTTGGTCCGCCGATCTAGATGCCCACACACCGACAGAGGAGTCTGTAACGCGATTTTTTCAGCGCTCTGTCAGCATGAGCAGCGCCACAAGCCTGCGCTCACCTAACACGGACCGCTGCAGCTACAATGCACTGCTGCGCAAGCACGAGAGCAACCGCGAGGATGGTGCTGGCTGGTCGCAGATCTGGCAAAAGTTTTGCGCCAGCGCCTCAACGCTGAATGTGACTCAACTGCAACAGCAACGCGAGCCTGAACCGGCCGTCACAGATGACATGAGCGACCTGCATTCCCTTGACGTAAGCCCAGTTCTGATTTAAGTTATCAAAGCCTATACATATTTATCTACTGGCAGACCAATTCGGATTTCGAGCTGATCCACTCCAACTTTGACATGGCCGAGCTGAAGCAAATGGTTTCCCAATTATGTCAGTTGCCCCGCGAGCCAGGACTCAATGCGCAGGGCTTTCTGTGCAAGGGCTGTCAGTATCC